CCCTGCTTCCTCCTCCTCCCTTTAGACTCCTCATCCCCAAACCCCAATTCTGCTACTGTATGTTGGACTTCAGTTTGGCCTAGGAGCTTAATAATAAGATAGTCTCTGCAGATGATCCCTGTAGCTTGGAAATAACTCTCACATGCTTTGTCTCACTTTACCTCATGTTTTAACCTCTGTGGCGAGAGCGATACTCATTCCCATTGACAGGTTATGAAATGGATGCTTAGAGAGTAGAAATGATTTGCTCGGTGTTGCACAGTTCAAAAGTAGGAGTTTCTGTTAATTCCAAATAAAACAAAAACGAGAAGCCCACGAACTGTGTTTCCTCTGCTCTCCTGTCACAACAATCAGCACAGAATACTTCTGTGATCAGTTATGGGGGGTTGCCCCTCCACATCAAGCTAGCCATCAATTCTGCCGAAGACGCCAGCTGGGTGTCCTCTAATTCAATTCTGACATTATCTTCCTGGAGATAGACAGCTTCAGAGCCCACAGGTTGAGAACTCAGTCCCATTAAGACCCCCCTTCTACTCTGGAACTTCTGGCTGCCTCCAAAATTGGGGTTCCCTTTCTGGGCTCCACTAATTTGCTAGAGCAGCTCACAAAACTCAAATAAACATGTTACCAGTTTTTGATTTGTTTGTTTTTGTGATGGAGTCTCGCTCTGACACCCAGGTTGGAGTGCAGTGGTGTGATCTCTGCTCACTGCAGCCTCCACCTCCTGGGTTTCAGCAGACCTCCCACCTCAGCGTCCTGAGTAGCTGGGACTACAGGCATGTGTCACCACATCCAACTATTTTTTTTATTTTTTTATTTTTAGTAAAAGTGGGATTTCACCATTTTGGCCAGGCTGGTCTTGAACTCCTGACCTCAAGTGATCCACCAGCCTCGGCCTCCCAAAGTGCTGGGATTAGAGGTATGAGCTACCATGCTCCACGTCATAGCTTTTTTTTTTTTTTTTTTTTACATAAAGGATATTACAAAAGATACAGATGAAGGATGTGCAGAGCAAGGTATGTGGAAAGAGACAAAGAGCTTCCATGCCCTCCCCAGGTGCACCACCCTCCAGGAACCTCCAAGTGTTCAGATACCAGGAAGCTCTCCAAACCCTGCCATTCTGAGTTTTTACGGAGGCTTCCTTACGCAGCCATCATTGATTACATCATTGGCCCCCGGTGAGTGACTTAACCTGTAGGAGGTGGCCCTCTCCCCTCCCCAGAAATCATAGGATGGGGCTGAAAGTCCCAATCTCACCCGTCTTGGTCTTTCTGGTGACCAGACTCATCCTGTAGCTAGCCAGGGGCTGCCAGCCTCCAGTCAGTCATTAGCATACAAAAAGCTCTTTGGAGATACTAAGAATTTTAGGAGTTGTGTGCCAGGAAATGGGGTTGAAGATCAAATATATATTTCACAATATCACAGTTTCTCAGTCTAATATTTCTTCATGTTATACTGAGGACAATGATAAAGATGAGCTGATGATGATTTAGGCTGGACCTCGGGTCCCGAGAGTCCTGCTGCCTGCTCATAGTGCAGATAATTGTTGATCCTTTCCGGGCTCCGTCTTTTTTTTTTTTTTTTTTTTTTTGAGATGGAGTCTTGCTCTGTCTTCAGGTGGGAGTGGAGTGGCATGATCTCAGCTCACTGCAACCTCCGCCTCCTGGGTCCCAATTCAAACAATCATCCTGCTTCAGCCACCCGAGTAGCTGGGATTACAGGCACACGCCACCATGCTCAGCTAATTTTTTTATTTTGAAAAGAGATGGGATTACACCATGTTGTCCAGGCTGGTCTTGAACTCCTGACCTCGTGATCCGTCCGCCCTGGCCTCCGAAAGTGCTGGGATTACAGGCGACAGCCACTGTGCCCAGGCTCCATCCTGTTTTTATTTACTCATTCATTCCCTTTTATCCTCTGATCTTCTCTTTCATTCCCCTGATCTCCCATAAGAAGCTATTTGGCCAGGCATGGTGGCTCATGCCTGTAATCCCAGCAGTTTGGGAGGCCGAGCTGGGTGGATCACCTGAGGTCAGGAGTTTGAGACCAGCCTGGCCAACATGGTAAAACCTTGTCTCTGCTAAAAAATACACACACAAAAAAAGAGTTAGTGGGGTGTGATAGCAGGCGCCTGTAATCCCAGCTACTGGGGAGGCTGAGGCAGGAGAATCACCTGAACCCAGGAGGCAGATGTTGCAGTGAGCTGCGATCAAGCCAATGCATGCCACCATAGGTGATAGAGCAAGACTTCATCTCAAAAAAAAAAAAAAGCTATGTTATTCTAATATATTTAATATACATCCTTTCTTTATATGTGTTCTCATAAAGTACACATTGTTGTTATGTATGTTTCTTATTAATACAAATGATGTTGTTACAGAAATCTTGATTTTATTTTTATTAATAAATAAAGATTAATTTTATTTTCTTTTTCTTCTTTTTCGAGACAAGGTCTTGCTCTGTCACCTGGGCTGGAGTGCAGTGGTATCACCACAGCTCACTGAAGCAGCGCTCAAGTGATTCTCCCACCTTAGCCTGCTGAGTAGCTGGGACTACAGGCACAAGTCAACATGCCTGGATCATTTTTTTATTTTTATTTTTAGTCTTCACTATGTTGTCCAGGCTGCTTAATTTTCATTTGGCATCATGTTTTTAAAATCTATCCACGTTTCTAAACTACATGCTACATAGAACTCCAGGGAGCATATATTCGCCATATTTTTTCCATCCTCTATGCCACGATGGACACCCATATTGCTTCTAACTTACTGCTATCACAAACAAGTGTTGTGAGAAATAGCACAGGGTCTTTGACCTTTCTCCAATACATACTTTTAGACAAGGTAGATGATTCTCTTGGGGAAATGAAGGCACAGGCCAAAGTGACTGGACAGGGAAGCACCCAACCACACTATGAAAGCCAATGGATTCGTTTCCTGTGGCTCCTTAAAGCTACCACAATTTTGGTGGCCTAAAACAGTATAAATTTATTCTTTCATAGTTCTGGTGGTCAGAAATCCAAATTCAGTATCACTAGGCTGAAATCAAAATATTGTCAGGGCCACACTCCCTCCGGGGATTCTGGGAGAGAATCTGTTCCTTGTCTCTTTCAGGCTGCTGACATTCCTTCGCTTGTGGCCACATCACTCCAATGTGCAAGGCTGGTTTCTTCAAATCTCTTTTTGTGTCATCGTCACGTCACCTTCTAATGTGTGTGCATATGTGTGTGAAATATCACTCTGCCTCTCTCAAATCGGGACACCGTGATGCCATTTAGGGCCTTCCTGAAGGATCTAGGACCAGCTCCTCATTTCAAGATCATCCATTTAATCACGTCTGCAAAAGTCTTTGCAACTTCCAACTAAGATCACGTTCGCAGATCTCAGGGATTAGGATCTAATATTTTTGGAGACCAATTTTTCAGTCTACTACAGCAACAATCTAAAAACTTTTTCTGAAACTGAATTATTGGAACACAGGGACCAAGGGTTTAAAATAAGCATAATAAATTTATTTAACAGATATTAGAATTTCTTAGAAATGTGAAGCAAGAGCAGGAAAGCATAAAAAAAACCAAAGAGAAATATCGGATAGAAAATACAATAGGTGGAAAAAGAATACAACATAGGGAGTAAATTACAGAATGGATGCAGCTGAAGAAAGATTGAGGAACCGTTTTAGAAGACAGCAGGAAAGACCAAGACTAGCCCTGGTGCAATGGTGCATGCCTGTACTCCCAGCTATTTGGAAGGCTGAGGCGGGAGGATCACTTGAGCCTGGGAGGTGGATGTTCCAGTGAGCCCTGATTGTACCACTGCACTCCAGCGTGGGCAACAGTGAGACCCTGTTTCAAAAACCACAAAACAAAAAGAGAAAAAAAGAAAGATGAAGAGAAAATAGAACAGAAAAGCTTATGGATATGAAAGATAAAATGTAAGTGCCAGCATCTGAGTGACATAAAAGAGGAATTATTGAAAGAAACAGTGAAGATAAATTTCCCAGATCTAAAGGCTCTTTTGATGCTGAGGTGGAAAGAGAAAGAATCAATATTAGACTAGGGTTTCAAACATTAAGCAGCAACAACTAGGCTCACGTCTATAATCCCAGAACTTCGAGAGGCAGAGGCAGGCAGATGATCTCTTGAGCCTAGGAGTTCTGCAGCAGCCTGGGCAACATGGAGATACTCCATCTCTAGTAAAAATACAAACAAAAATCAGCCGGGCATCCTGGGTGCTAGCCTGTAGTCCCAACTACTCGGGAGGCTGAAGTGGGAGGACGTCTTGGGCCCAGGAGGCAGAGGTTGCAGTGAGCTGAGATCATTGAGATTGTGCCACTGCACTGCAGCCTGGGTAATGGAACAAGACCCTGTCTTAAGGAAAAACAAAAAAACAAATAAGGAAACAAAAAGAAAACTCTAAAAGTATCTGGGAATAATATCTTTTAGAGATAACCTTCAAAAGAACAATAATCAAAAAAGCAGGCTGGGCATGGTGGCTCATGCCTGTAATCCCAGCACTTTGGGAGGCCGAGGCAGGTGGATCACCTGAGGTCAGGAGTTTGAGACCAGCCTGGCCAACATGGTGAAACCCTGTCTCTACTAAAAATACAAAAAAATAGCAGGCTGTGGTTGCAGATGCCTGTAATCCCACCTACTTGGGAGGCTGAGGCAGGAGAGTCACTTGAACCCGGGAAGCAGTGGTTGCAGTGAGATTGTGCCATTGTACTCTCTAGCCTGGGCGACAAGAGTGAAACTCTGTTTCAAAAAAAAAAAAAAGCAATACAGGATGCAAGAAGTTAATAATTTATACTTTTAAGTATTAAAGGAAAAGAGCTTTGAACCTAACATTTTATACCAGCCAAACTCTCAAAACTTGAGGGTGTGAAAGGTTTACAGAGCCATAGAAGGTTTTTCACACAAAGACTAATACTGAAAGCTCCCTTCAGAAGGAGGCGAGGGGAGCCAGAGACGAGACTAGAGGCCAAACTCAGGTTCTGACAAGATGGCCTGGCTGCCCCACAGGATCATCAGGGAAACTCAGCATTTGCTGGCAGAACCAGTTCCTGGCATCAAAGCAGAACCAGATGAGAGCAACGCCTGTTATTTTCATGTGGTCGTTGCTGGCCCTCAGGATTCCCACTTTGAGGGAGGGACTTTTAACCTTGAACTGTTCCTTCCAGAAGAAGACCCAATGGCAGCCTCTAAAGTACGTTTCATGACCAAAATTTATCATCCTAGTGTAGACAAGTTGAGAAGAATATGATCAGATATTTTGAAAGATACATGGTCCCAGCACTACAGATCCGCACAGTTCTGCTATCGATTCAGGCCTTGTTAAGTGCTCCTAATCCAGATGATCCATTAGCAAATGATGTAGCAGAGCCATGGAAGACCAGTGAAGCCCAAGCCACAGAAACAGCTGGAGCATGGACTAGGCTATATGCCATGAATAATATTTAAATTGATCTGATCATCAAGTGTGTATCACTTCTGTTCTGCCAAGGCTTCTTCCTTTTTATTTGCATTTAATGGACACAGTCTTAAAAACATTAGAGAATAAAAAAGCCCAGACATCGTCAGTCCTTTGGTGATTAAATGTCTTGTCCTGATTCACTGTCGTGAAGCATGAGCTGAGGCTAGAAGCATCATCCGGATTGTTGTGAAACGCTTAAAAGCAGGAGCCCCTCCCTGCTTTTACTTATTTCCCCATCCTGGTTTAAGCATAAAGCACTGTGAATGAAGGTTTCAGCTTAGCTGCAGGGGTGTGGGTGTTTTTCTTTATTTTATTTTGAGGGGGGAGGTAGTTTTATTTCAATTTTATGAGCTCCTTTCCCCCTCTTTTATGGTGATCTAACTAAATTGGTTAAAAGCAGCTAACCAGTTCTGCTCTCTAGCGAAGTCTCGCTTTATTTAGATGCTGTAGATGGACAAGCTTGATTGTTTGAACCAAAATGGGAACATTAAACAAACATCACAGTCTCACTATAACATTTGTGTCTTTGCTGTCAAGTGTAGATTTCCCCCTTCAAAAAAGTCTGTGACCATTTTGTATGGCTTGTCTGGAAACTTCTGTAAATCGTATGTTTTAGTCCAATATTTTTTGTTGTTCTACTTCGTCTTTGTACAGTTTATTTTACTGCGTTTATTTCATTTTCCCAATGTGACAATCGTATTTTAAAATTAAAACTGATGGAACATTCTGTCCTGGTCTTCACCACCTGACAAATTGAATGGCAAGCGGTGGATTTTGCCAGTTTCTTTTCACTGGCTTTGTGTTGATGGTATTGAACGGAGTGTTTATAAACTGGCCCTGAGCATGCATAAAGCATCAGAATCTGACCTTTTTTTAACCTCCAGGGAATTTGAAATAAATGTGTTTGTGTGGTCTGATTAGGCGATCATTGGTGTCTTGCCACAGTGTTTAAATATTACTGTACAGGAAAGTCACAGCAAAGAAAGCGGTTGTAACTAACATGTAGGACTCTCACAGTTGTGCCACATTTTTGCCTAAAATTTGGGTTATGATCTTTTTCTTGGTTCTTGTCTGAAATTTCACCTGCAACCTTTCGTGTATTAAGAAACACTGATCTGACAATGATTTGGGATTTGCTGAGGCATTTGTGAGTCTTCCTTATAAACCTGCAGATCTCAACATCCAGCTTCCGTGTCATCAGAGAGGTTTATGCCTTTGAGAGCATCAAATCCTCAATCATTCTTGCTTTCATTCCTCTAGTATTTGTTACGGGAGCTCCTTTTACTCTTTAATTTGAAATTTAGTAATTTTTCTTCTTCAGTGACCGAGTTTCCCCCCTCACAAAACTGTTCTTTAAGTCGTAAATGTGGCCAGTCATAAACACATAAATGCTCACCTTCGGATTGGAACCTTGTCGCTTGCAGTTTAAGGCAATAGATATTGTAGCCCATGTGAATATTCTTGACTCTCATTCTCGTAATTCTGGAGTTTCTTTAGATTGTGGTGTATTTTATTGTGCTCCTATGTAAGATGAAGAATTAACTATTAAAATTACATTTTCAACATTAAAAAATCACTTAATTTTCCAAAAATATTTTGACATCAATATAGATGATTTGCAAAAAGCGACAAAAATCACATTTACCAGGACGCATGTGTTAAAGCATTGTTTCCTGTTAATGTGCCTATCTACACGTGGGGCCATGTACAAGGGCCTGTTTCCTCTCCCTGCGGTCGCAGCCGGCACGCGCTCGCGGACAAACGCAGGGACACGCCGCTTTCCAGCGGCGCGCGAAGGCCGGGGCGCGCGCTCACACCCCGAAGGCTCAGCCCTGCACCACGAGCTGCCGCGCGGTCCCCACGGAGCTGGCGCCTCTGCCCACTGCGTCCCGATGCTGGTCGTCCCTACGGAAACCCTTCGTCGATGGCCCGGGTCTAAAAGGCTTTTCCTCCGAGCCCGAGTCCCTCCAGCGTCCCCGCTGGGCCGGGGCGCCGCGTCCTTCCTGGCCGGCGAGCGCGGGCCTCCCTGGAGACGGAGGGTGGCCCTGCAGAGGCAGCCCCGGGTGCCGCCTGGAGAGGCCGGCGGCGCGGCAGACGCTCTTTGCCAAGTGGAGGCGCTGCGTGGGCAGCAGCGGGGGCCGGGCCCAGTGCCCCTCAGCCTCTGTCGCTCCCGAGACTCCTGCCCCGCCCCGCGTCCTCCGAGCTCAGCGCCCTCGGGCTCCGCAGGCGGCTCCGCTGGGCGCAGTGGCTCCCGGGTTGGGCTCCGTCGGCCTGGGGGCCAGAGTCCCCCTCGGCTCCGGGGCTGGGGCTGGGACGCGCCGGCTCCCGCAGGCCCTGGCCACGCTCCCCGCGCCTGCCGCCTCGGTGCGCGCTGTGGCACAGCCGGACCGCTGGCCAGAAGCACCTTCGGCGGCTGGCTGGGCTCCTCGCGGACTCTGGCGGAGACTCTGCCGCCGGCGCTCCCCGGCTGCGCTCGCGCTCCCACTCGGTCCGCGCCCGGGTCCGGGCTCCGAGCTCACACCACGGCTTGGCCTTTACTGCCAAAACCTCCTAATCACCCGTTCGATGCTGTCGCCGCGGTCCCCGGAACCGCTGTCTTCAGACGGGGAGCCGGGGCTGGGAGCTGGGCGCGTGGCTCACAGGGCGGACCGCCTTGCGGGGCGGAGGCGGTTCTCCTGACGCTGAAGGCAGGGCCGTTCCCCGCTCTCAGCGCCCTGTTTTTGGAAAGTACGATTTTGTAGGGTGTTCCTAACTGCAGTCCTCTGCGTTCTGCGTACAAGTCTTAGAACAGCAAACATTTGCTTCTTGTCATCACGGCCAGGGTCACAGAGACTCTGAGATGTTTTTGGTTGACGGCTGGTGAAGAAGTCGGGTTGTGGCCGCAGCTGCCCGCTCCGCGGATGCTCAGATCCCCGAAGGCGTCGGTCGCGAAGCGCCCGGGACAGCATTTTCTATACAAAGGGTCCCTCCCCACTACCCTGCTCCTTGGAGGCCAGAGCACATCTTCTGAAAACTGCAGCCACAGCGGTCTGTTGGAAAAACGTTTGGAAGCACAAAGGCCAGCGAGCACACTGACCACTCCCTGCTGCTCCGAAATCTGCGGATGTTTGCAGCTGAGCCCCGGGCCTGGATGGGTTCACGTCCAATTTTTTTTTCTTTTTTTTTTTCTTTTTTTTGAGACGGAGTCTCGCTTGTTGCCCAGCCTGGAGTGCAGTGGCGCGATCTTCCGCCTCCCAGGTCCAAGCAATTCTCCCGCCCTCAGCCTCCCGAGTACCTGGGAGTACAGGCATCCGCCACCACGCCCGGCTAATTTTTGTATTTTTGTCGAGAAGGGGTTTCTCCATGTTGGCCAGGCTGGTCCTGAACTCCTGATCTACCCACCTCCGGTTCCCAAATTGCTGGGATTACAGGCATGAGCCACCCCTTGTGGCAGCATACTTCTTTTTATATGGAGTTACTTTTCTTTTAAAATCATGTTTCTTTTTTTTTTTTTTTTCTGTCTTGATCGAGTTATAGGTTCTAAAGGATATTACAACGTGCGCATTTTAAATTTCCCTTTCTTAATTCACACACACCAATGAGCGCTGCTTAGAGCTTTGGTCCCCAAACACCTTGGGCACAGATGATGTGCAAAGGCCGGTACTGGGGACAAGCCTTCCCCATACCTGCCCTCCGGAAACTGGGGCCCAGTCAGAGGTGTGCCGGAACAACAAGGCCAGCCCTTTGGACGGTTTTTGCGGGTCGCCTTCCAGGGCAGAATGCGCAGGGCCAGCCCCGGCACGCGGCGTGGCTCAAGCGGGGTGGCGCCAGGTCCTCGGTGCTGACGCACTGCGATGCTGCCCTGGTGTCCTGTACCTTCTGCTCTGAGGCTGCCTTGGTGTCCAGAGCCATTAGCAGAGCTGAGCACTGATGCGTCATGACGTTTACACTGTAATTGTCCAGCGAACTTTCATCAGACCCCCAAGATTCACAACTCAACCTCATGGCTTCGCTGCCATGCGGGGTTTACTTTGCGGCTGAATCTTGTTGGTATTCTAACACGCAAGTGAATTGTCTACATACTGTGCACCCCTGGGTTGAGCAGGAATTTACTTCTGTACCCAGTTGCAGGCATGTGCCACCTTCCATCCACAGTCAACATCTGCTGCATCAGAAGCTGTGATGAGGTTCCCTGTGGTCCCTGTTCCTATCCAGCCCCCTCTTGTGCGGTTGATATCGTCATTGTGGAATATCTGTCACTTAAGTGCTTCCGGGAAAAACAAATCCATGTAATCCATATTTAACTTTTATTTACATTTTTAAAGAGTCCTTTTTTTTTTTTTTTTTGAGTCAGAGTCTCCCTCTGTTGCCCAGGCTGGAGTGCAGTGATGTGATCTCCGCTGCTCATTGCAACCTCCACCTGCAGGATTCAAGCAACTCTCTGCGTCAGCCTCCCGAGTAGCTGGGATTACAGTCGCCTGCCACGAAGCCTGGCTGATTTTTTGGTATTTTTAGTAGAGACAGGGATTCACTGTGTTGGCCAGGCTGGTCTTGAACTCTGGATCTCGTGATTCACTCGCTTGGGCCTCCTAAAGTGCTGGGATTACAGGCATGAGCCACCGTGCCTGGTCCTTTCGTAATTTTTTTTTTTTGAGACAGTATCTGCTCTGTCTTCCAGACTGGAGTGCAGTGGTACCATCACAGCTCACTGCAGCCTTGACTTCCCAGGCTCAGGTGATCCTCCCACCTCAGCCTCCCAAGTAGCTGGGACTACAGACATGCAGCACCATGCCTAGCTAAATTTTTAAAAATTATTTTTTGCAGAGACAGGGGCACATGATGTTGCCCAGGCTGGTCTGAGACTTCTGGGCTTGATCCTCCCACCTTGGCCTCCCAAAGTGCTGGGGTTACAGCCATGAGCCACCTCGCCTGGCCCTTGTGTTCAATTTTTAATTTCTGCAATCATATTTTATTTCGCAAAGCTCTTTTTTTTTTTTTTTTTTTTTTT